TATTTTTTATAAAGACCTTATTAAATTAAATAATCTCAAGTATACTTTGTATTATTTTTTGATTTCAAAGCTTAAGCACGTTCTAGATTTTTTTGATTTTCTTAGAATTAAATAACTTGCCCAGACAAAAATCAATGCACCTAAGTATGAATTGGGAGAAGAAAAAAATAACATGCATTTATTTGCATGGAGACTAATACCATATTTTCAATAAGCTTCAAAGATTTATCATAGATGTTGAATATGTTCTTTTTAAACTAATAGATTGTTCCATCATTGAAATATATTTCTAAATAATTTCTTAAGATTAAACTTAAAAACAAAGTCTATCATAGGTTGGAATGTCATGGATGCATTTTTTGTACCAAATAACATTCATTCAAAAATAGAATGGCCTTTATTTTGTAGAATAAGCAGTTTTTTATTTGTCCTCTAATACTATAGTTATTTGGTAGTATTCCAAAGAATAATCTATGAAGCTATACTTCTTGTGGCTGGCTATCTTGTCAATAATTTCTTCCATATACATGAGGGAATAATAATCATTTTTTGGTAGCAATATTTAACTTGTAGAAATCTATGAAAATTTGTAGATCTCTTGATTTTTTTGGAATGATTACTATGGTTGATAATTATGAAGTAGAATCCACAAGAAAAATAAATTTGGCTTATAGAAAATTTGTTCAACTTATGCCTCACAATTTGTATATAGTTAGAATTCATTCAATATCACCTTTATTGAATTAGCATAACATTTAAGACAAGATCGATCTAATATTTTATTATCTTTGCAGGTATTCTTTTTAAATCTTTGTGTGACTATGCAAATATATATAAATACCCATAGAATAACAAGATCATGGTGATTTTTATATCATTAGATGCATTTGCATTTATCTTTATGTCTTTGGATTTTAAAGATATTCCAAAGTTAGAAAGTTCTATTTTTTTTTAGAATTAATCACCATCTCATGATTATTTTTTCTTCCAATTTGATTTATGTAACAAGAACCAAGTAGAGCTTTAATACAAATATTAATGCTTACTTATTGAGATTTTTTTTTCAAGACCAATTGTTGCTCATGATTTCTTAATTTGTTGAGGTTTTTTCTTAAATTACATAATTTTTGATATGAATACAAATATGTTGATGTTGGTGATAATGCATAATTTTATTACTAAACTAGTTGTGAGATGCATTCATATCTTACAACCATGGTCTTTTCAAAATGACCAAGAAGTAACTCTTGTCTAGCATCTTAATTATTCAAAAGATAATTGATATTCAAATTCCTTAGATTATAATGATATTATTTTATGATATTCTAAGGGGCTTAATACAAGCATTATTTGCCATACGAAGTATGAATGAAGCTACTTTGGATTGAGAAAGTCTAAAGAACTTATAGATATAATTTTTCATGATATTAATGTCGGATTTTCTATCCACAAGTACAATAGTTAGTTAATATTTTTTGATGCAAATTTTGATAATTACATCATTAAAATCTGTTATTGTGATATTTAAAATTGTAACTATTTGTAGTGATGGTTTGGAATATGCCTTATATTTTAGATAATTTAGTATTTTAGAATTTAATTTGAATCACTAAACAATCAAAATATGATTGCAATACTATTGAATATGGTTCTTTTAGTATTTGAATTGATTAATTTTATAGCCTTATTCATGCATAGCTCTTGTTATATTTATTTATAAATCTTCTAAAGCAAATTCTAATATTTTATAGTATACAAGACATAAGATTTTTGTTCTATTTTTGCAAGTGTTTCAAGTTGGCATTGATTAGCTCAAGTATTTATTGTCACAATCTTGGCTTCTATTATTGATATTATAAGAAATTGTGGCTCTTTGATGCTTATGATGGTTATTCTACCTCAATATGGATTTTGGTTATTTTGATACTTTATCCACTATTATCATGCATAAGTGTAATTATTAATCTAGTGATTTCTTCTATATTCAAAGCATGGACCTATTTGTATTAGTCGATTATTTAGTCTTCTATTGTATTGCTGATTAAATGTATTGCATTCTATCTCTTCCTCTAATTTTATAGTTGCGATTGCTGATTTTCCTTAAATATCATTCAAACAATTATTTGGATTTAAAGGATCTACCAAGAGTTCAAGAAATGCATCTTGTGGCAATGTTTATATGTTGCCAAAGTTTTGCTTGAGTTCTTTTGTTTGGATTTTCATATGAATGATAATATATGTTCAATCTTCAGAGCAACTTTGATTCTTTCTTCCATACTTTTGGGTTGCATATATATTATGCATTACCTAATACTAAGTAATAAGCCTCGTTTGAACCACAAGGTTTAGATGGAATTAATAGAAATAGTATGAAGTTTTTTCACAAGATTTATAAAATGGTCTAGATAATCTCTCACTATCTTTTGACTAGCTTGCTTAATTTTTGATAAATCCAATATAATATTATCATTAATTTTCATGTGTCTAAATCTTTTTACAAAATTTATTTTAAATTCTTTTCAAGTAGCCTCAAGATGCCTACAAATAAAAAATAAAAACCATGTAATATGTGCTTTTTGTAAATATTATTTCAAATATTTGTTTTAATATTTTTAGCAATAGAATCTTATTAGTACTTGCTTCAATTAACTATATTCTAATATATTTATTAGAATCATTTGTACAATTGTAAATATGATACTTAAGATTGGGATGTCTTGAGTTTACTACCACCTTCAGAATTGAAATAGAGGTTGTTGGTATTGGAACAATAGTTGGACTTATTGTAGCCAACTTAGTATATCTATTACCTTTTTGGAAATAGTAGTAGCCTCTCTTGGATTATGTTTGCCAAACTTAGGTCAACTAAGATTAAAATCTTCTTATATCTTCTCTTCCTTTGGTTCCTTTATTTATTTTGTTTGTAGATTATGTGATCATCTTCTATTTAATTCTTTTAAGGTTTTGTTAGCCAATGCTGTCCAACATAGTCGCCAAATGTTATTTAAGCTTTTGAAATTACTAGCAAGTACGAGATAAGACTTTGTGAAATAAGACATGGCATACACAATTATCAGAAAAGAAAGTAAGTAATTGTTAATTATTCATTCAAAATCACATGGCCTTTAGCTTAACACTATCTTAGCTTGTAGTACTACTACCCAAGATCTACTAAATATTGTGCTAATTCTCAACTACCTTATTGTATTTTCTCCAATCTTTAAATATCCTCCTACCTTATTATTTGTTTGTTAATTTTGGTGACCTTGTAATAACATCTTATCTCTTTGTTTCCTATTCATGTGACATTGTGCACTTGAGATACTTTGTCAAGTATCATTTGTAGGCAAGAATAGATTCTTTCAACAAGTAATACTTTTGTAGGTAGGTGTACATAAAAAATGAGATCTAATATTATCAATATTGTATTAGATCTCATTTTTTTTAAATATAAAAAAATCATAAATTTTTTATGCAAATTTTTTTATGTAAAATTAATTGATATTTTACTTAATATTAATGTAAAAAAATCTTATCATAAATTTTTTTTCTTTAAATATAATAAAATTTCATACATTTTTATAAATTCATATTCAAAAAATTAAAAACTAAAAAATTATTAATTAAAATCAGTATTTGATAAATTTAATAATAATATTTTAATAATTATTATTATTATATGCATATAATAAATTCTTAATTAATTATGGACTTCAAAAATATTTATAATATAGATACTACATATATATATATATATATATATATATATATATATATATATATTTTAAAATATTACTAATATTTATTCAAACTTAAAGTATACCTTATATCTATACATAAATTTTATTTAAAATAAATTTTAATTACATATCAAAATATAAAATTTTAATTAAAAATATTTTATTTTTTATTTTTTATTTTTTATTTTAAATATATTTTAAAAAATCATTTATGAATTTTTTATTTTAATATTTATGTACTTTATAATAATTTAATTTTTTTAGTACATTTTATTTATATAATTTTTAAAAAATTAAAAAATAACTATTTATTATTTAAATTTATTATTTATTTATTTTATTTGTATTATTAACTAATTAAATGATTTTAATCTTAGATTTTACTACCTCAAGAATAAGATTCTTTTATGTAACTTACTTATAGCCAACATCTATTAAAAAAGTTTGAAGTCCTAATAAGAAAGTTTACAAGTCTTAAGAAAACAATTGAATATATTGTTGCTTAAACTTATATTGTGGACAATGTTTTTGTCCTATCTAGGCTAGTAGATAAGTTTGTTCAAATCTTGTTTAGACATAGACTAAGCTATATCCTAGAATACAAGGACTTCTTAGTTATTTAGATAAATAATTAATTTCTGTACATTTAAATGTAAATTTAGAGATGGATTTTTATTGGCTACAAAAATTTGCTTGCATTCTTTGACTATTGATTTAAAGTACAATTGTCAAATGGAATGACCAAAAATGGATTAGGATTTATGCAAATGTGACCTTGAGCTTGTGGAACCTGAAGGTCATGCAAGTATTGGTAACAACACACATCTATTGGTATCACTCTTCAACCTTCAAGGTTTGTTCTAGTTTTTGGTTCATATTGTTGATATCACTCTTCAACTATTAGGTTTTGTTTTAGTTCTTGGTTCATATTGTTGGTATCACTCTTTAGCTATTAGGGTTTGTTCCAATTTTCAATTCATATTGTTGGTATCACTCTTCAACTGTTAGAATTTGTTCCAAGTCCCAGTTCATGTTGTTGGTATCACTCTTCAGCTATTAAGGTTTTGTTTCGGGTCATGTTGTTGGTATCACTCCAACTATTAAGGTTTGTTCCAGTTTTGTGTCTAGGGAATCCTACCTACACAAGTGGAAGTCCAAGATTCTAGAAATCTCACAAGAGATAATATGTATCATTGAGTTTGGCATCTGCTGGCCACCTGTAGTAATCTAAAGGCAATTTTTGGGGTGAAAAGCATTGTAATTCAAAATCTGGGTCAGGTGATTTAAGACAAAAAACAGTATTGTACAGAGGCTCATGTTCTATTTTGTAGTTACATGGCATCAGAATGATAGTTCACAATTTTGCAGCTGTTGAGATGTTTTTGGTGTAGTGGGACAACACGAGCGACAGTGCGACGCAGTGGAAGATTACCTCGATGCCGGTTCAATTGTCCGTAACTCTGTTTCTTCTACAGCTTGAACCTGTCAGTAACTTTGTTAGATTCCCGTAATTGTTGTTTTGTTAATATTGTAGCCTTTTACACTTTCAAACATTTGCAATGTCATGCACCTCATTAGATTTTGCATTGTAGCGGTGGCATCCCGCCACCCTTTCCTGTCTACTCTTTTCACTGATTCATTCTGTGGGGCTACAGTAGTGTAATGGTTCCTTAACATCGAGTTGTCTTTGGATCTGAGAGAAAGTAAGCTGTCAGGAACATGCTGTTAAGCTGTGCGAACAAGCAGCGCTGTCAAAGTGTAGGTTACCCACTGCAAAACAAGTGACATGCTTGAGCTGTTATTCCCTCCCCGTTGTGTGCGTAACAGGTTTTCTCCAGATCAAACACAAATAGGTATCATCCATCTTCGCTTACCTCGGTCCCCTTGCACAAGCTGGCTATCTAAGGAAGTGTGTGTTAATGCAAGGGACCTCCGAATCCCAATGTGACAATTTGCAAAAGAGCACACGTTTGTGCACAAAGAAACCAAATAGACGAAATCCAAATCAACTACACTTCCATGCATAATGTTGACGAGAAATTGCGCACTAAGGCAGCCAATAGAGCAAATTCTTGCGGTAGGTTGTTTGACGTGCTGGAGTCTGCACTCACTAGTGAGCTTCTTCCTGAGTTACAACAGATTAAGTTATTTAAGGCAGTGTTTGTGGTACAAAATGCTCCAGCAGACACTTGTGATAACAATCAGTTCGTTGGCAGACATGCTCTCCTCCTTTCCACCAAAGATATTCGACTGCCATTCCTACATTCTCGCCTAGCCTCAAATGGATTCAAAGTTGGCTATCCGAAACGTCTCACCTGACGATTTGTGTTGATCTAGTGAAGGCCACAGAGGCTATGGATTCAGTTGCACGCCGTGTCAATTCCGTCTAGCGCAACGAACATGATGCCCAGTGCACAAAAGCAGAAAAAAATATATATTTATATATTCTACTCATAAAGGTTCTTAACCGATGATGGAGAGGCTGTGAGTATTATGAATCCGGAGCCAAAGTAGGCGCTCTTTGCCTCGCATCCACAACTTTTCTGCGGCGGGGAGTCAGAGTGGGAGACTTTCCACTTGTGCCATATTCAATTGTGACGCGTGCTTCAATCGAAATCAAGCTGCTAGGGTTTCAATTGAATTAGGGCTTGCCCCTAGGAAAAGTTAGGGTTTCTTCCAAGGGGCACCGGTCAAGCCAACAGAACCTCAGTGAAATTCTTAATGTAAAGCTATAAAGCAGTATCTCAGTCCACCAGTTGACTAATCGTACCAGGTCCAGATTTAGATCATCCTTCTCTGCTTACATCCATTCAGATGCAAACACATGCACTTGTTTCGTGAGGTTACCACCCAACCAGAAGCAGGGTGAATAATTATTAAAAGCGATTATGCTCATAACTGTTTTTTCAAAACATTATCTTACTCCGAGTCAAATTTTGTGAACCATAATCTAGGAACAATCGTAGTGGAAAGTCAGGGGAAAGTGTTCTGAGGGTTAAGTTCCCAAAGGTTTATTCTCTCTACTAAGTCACAATGTATGAAAATGGATATTACATGATTGAAACCCACATTTCGAAGAAAATTTTGCGGAGATCTGATGCATTCAACGCGTTGAAGTTCATGCACAGGTTCATCTTTTGTCTGCGCAGGATGAGTTTTTTTTTACCGTCAGGGGGAGTGGGGTTCCAATGGAGGTTTAAGCAGAGCAACGACAACAGTTCATGCATCGCCAAGTTCTCCCACTGTATGTCTGGTTGCAGCGACGAGTTCTCACACTTGCCATACGAAAGGGTTGCCTTCGTTGCAGCCAAAAGACCCCGTTTCTCTCTCGTCATCGCTTCGCCGCATCTGCTGTTCATCCCCACGCTCCGCATCGATCGTACTCTTCTCTTCCACCATCACCATCTCTGTTCAATTTTATTCCTCTCCCGCTCTCTCTTCTCCATATCTTCTCCGCTCCGCTCCCTCTTTTGCATCATCTCTTGTCTTGCTCCCACTCACAAGTTCGGTGTCCACATTTCTGGACCGACTCTCTCGCTCCCACGGATTTTACAGGTGGTTCATCTAGGCTTGATTTTCGATGCTTTGAATCTGGGCTTTTTTGTTTTTTGTTTTTGGCGTGTGCTTTACACGTGGGATCTGATCGTGCAAATTTTAAATTACGACGGGGAATGAATGAGGTTGTAGTGTGCGAGGTTCTTGTTGGACAAAGTGGGGGTGATGGGGAGGGTCCTCGTGATTCAACGACCTGTGTAGTCTTCGGTCGGTAGCTGCGAGATTCGGTATTTGCATACGTTTTGAAGAAGGTGCGATTACACCGAGGATAGGTCCAATTGCATATTAGAGAGTTGATGGACATCGTTTGATCGTTAACTGCAGCGAAATAAGTCCATGGGGTTTTTAGGAAAGTTCTGGTTCATGTTGTTGCTGTCGCTGAATTGATGGTTTGGAATTATTGTTGAAGGATTTTTCTTTGCCTTCCCACAGTTCCTTTTTCTCGCAACGGATGATCACGTAGTGGTTTAAGGATGGATAGATTACGGGAATACTTTTGTTAGGAGACCAGGGAGGAATCATATTACCTTGATCCCAAAGTTGTTGGTTGTGTGTTCAGGAAGTGGAGTGATACATCGTCGCATAGTTACTGGGAAAATTGTAATTGCTCGTGCTCAGGCTGGAATTTCAAGCAAGTTGAGGATTGCAGGCGAAATTTACTGAAGTAAAATTCGCCAGGCGCAATGCAAGGTGCAATGCAGACAAAGATGTGGAGGGGAGAGCTGATCAGCACATCGACCCACTTTATAGGCGGCACTCGACTGCAGCCCAAACTAAACCAGGATGCAAGGAAACCCACGAAAAGTGAAAATTGTATCGTTCGAGTCTCCATGGAGCGTGAGGTCAAGGCTAAGGCCGCGGTTTCTCCACCCGCTGTTGCTGCAGACCGTCTCACTCCACGAGTGCAAGAAAGAGATGGCTACTACGTTCTCAAAGAGGAATTCCGACAAGGAATTAACCCCCAAGAGAAGATCAAACTTGGGAAAGAGCCGATGAAATTCTTCATAGAGAACGAGATAGAGGAGCTTGCAAAGACGCCGTTCGCGGAGCTAGACAGCTCGAAGCCTGGGAAGGACGATATCGATGTTAGACTCAAGTGGTTGGGTCTCTTCCACCGCCGCAAACATCAATGTGAGTAGAAAACTTGTGTGCTTCAAAAGTTGGCAGAGATTTTCAACTGGACAGTAGCTGCTGCGTGCACTAGTTCCTCCATAGTAATAGTTGCAGATGGATTGTAATTGATCTCTTGGGAAATGGCGTCTTACGGAACGAGTGTTGAGGGAGTCTGCAGATGGAAGGTTCATGATGCGGTTCAAGCTTCCGAATGGAATCACGAACAGTACACAGACGAGGTTTTTGGCCGAGACCATCTCAAAATACGGAAAGGAAGGGTGTGCAGATTTGACGACAAGACAGAACTGGCAAATTCGTGGGATTATGCTCGAAGATGTGCCCTCCCTTCTGAAAGGACTGGAATCCGTGGGCCTATCGTCTCTGCAGAGCGGGATGGACAATGTAAGAAATGCGGTCGGTAACCCTCTTGCTGGAATCGACCCCGACGAAATCGTCGACACCATTCCTATCTGTCAGGCGCTGAACGACTACATCATCAACAGAGGGAAAGGAAATACTGAGATCACCAACTTGTAAGTGATGAGTACAATTCGCTCTCAAACGATCGCAGGTTCGTCTTGTCTCTTGAACCAACAATGTGAGCGGAACTTTGCTGGAATTTGAAAACTTTGAATATTGAACTCCTATTTTGTCGTCGGCAGACCTCGGAAGTGGAACGTGTGCGTGGTCGGGACGCACGACTTATTTGAACATCCGCACATCAACGATCTTGCGTACGTTCCCGCAACCAAGAACGGCGTCTTCGGTTTCAACATTCTTGTTGGAGGATTCTTCAGCTCAAAGCGGTGCGCCGAAGCTATTCCGATGGACGCTTGGGTGCCGACAGACGACGTCGTCCCGTTGTGCAAAGCAATTCTGGAGACTTATCGAGACCTCGGGACTCGCGGCAACCGACAGAAGACTCGCATGATGTGGTTGATCGATGAGATGGGAGTCGAGGAGTTCAGAGCCGAGGTGGAAAGGCGCATGCCCAGCGGCACTATCCGGCGAGCCGGACAGGATCTGATAGACCCGTCGTGGAAGCGCCGGAGCTTCTTCGGAGTAAACCCCCAGAAGCAAGCAGGGCTGAACTACGTTGGTCTTCACGTCCCGGTCGGGCGTTTGCACGCTCCAGAGATGTTCGAGCTGGCTCGCATTGCCGATGAGTACGGCAACGGCGAGATCCGGATCACTGTGGAGCAGAACCTGATTCTGCCCAACATCCCGACGGAGAAAATTGACAAGTTGATGCAGGAGCCCCTCTTGCAGAAATACTCTCCGAATCCCACCCCCTTGTTGGCGAACTTGGTGGCCTGCACTGGCAGCCAGTTCTGCGGCCAAGCGATCGCGGAGACGAAGGCCCTGTCCCTGCAACTCACGCAGCAGCTCGAAGACACCATGGAAACGACTCGCCCGATCCGATTGCACTTCACGGGATGCCCCAACACATGCGCTCAAATCCAGGTTGCGGATATCGGATTCATGGGCACCATGGCTCGAGATGAAAACCGAAAGCCCGTTGAAGGGTTCGACATCTACCTCGGAGGCCGCATCGGCTCCGACTCTCACTTGGGAGAGCTTGTCGTGCCTGGTGTGCCTGCCACCAAGCTGCTTCCGGTGGTGCAAGAGCTGATGATCCAGCATTTCGGCGCTAAAAGGAAACCTTGAGATGCAAATCTGGGTATAGTAACAAAAAATCACTACTCGTCACACACACACACACACCGCTGATGTATAATTTACGTAAAACCAATCTATCGAATAGCACGATTCACAGTTACGAAACTCTGGGTAAAACCCGGTTATAAATTGATGACCATTCATTCGTCTTGTGCAGCCTTCCAGTGACATTGTCAGTGTCGGTGGGCATGAGCTCTGTCGCTAATCCCCACTTCTCCAATAAAGTTTCGGCAAATCTGTGCCCACATGAATCATGTTTACTCTTGCAAGTGCTTGCAAAACTAGAAAATGTGATCTTGTTGCACCCGGACAGATCTCCGAGCTAGAAACTGGCTCCGTAAGGCAAATTTCAATGCTGCGTGCATATCGAATCATCTACCTGGTAGATATTTGCCATGCGATGGTAGAAGTGGAAGGATACACTTCAGGAAACTTTGTAGTTGTAGTGATGCAAGGAGAAATAAGGTGGAGAAATTGATTAAGTTAGATTAAGAGTGTAATTACTTAAATGACGTGAAAACAGGTTTTTTATAGCAACTCTTTGCTCCATGTGCAGAACGCAACCTGCTATAACTGGTTATTTATTGTTGAATAATCAAAATTGGAAGCGTGAAGAGAAGTGGAGTACAGTGTAAAATTGATGTAATGTGTTTGAAGTGGAAGTGAGGGTCAACCACAATAAAGAGGGTTAAAATGGGCAACTTAAGAATGTGAAATGCCAAAATGATGTAAGGTGCAAAATGGGTTGAAGACAAGTGGCTGAATTAGAAAAGAAAAGAATAAATAGTTGAAACAGACAAGTTTTTACTGAAAAATTGTGGTTTGAGAGGAGAGCAAGAAGAGGTAGTGGGAGTAAGGAGAAAAATATCAAGTTAAAAAGAAATTGGACGCCATTAATTATTGTTCATTAATTTATTGCAATTTAAATTATTACCATATGGATTTATTATCTGCAACTGAAAAAACTTTTGGATTTAATTATTTTTATTATTAGCTAAAAGAAAAATTCTAAAATTAATCTTATTGTTTGTAGTATTTTATTCTTAGTCAATTTTTTGTTAATTATTTTTTAAATTATTTTCTCAATAACCTAGTAATTTTTTATATATTATTTTGAAAAATTATAATTGTAAAAAGGCATAGCAGTGTTGAATGAGTTTTAGTAAAGTTATTAATTAACAGTAGGATTTTATTGATTTAATTTGTACAAAAATATAAGTTTTAAAATAATCTTGGATTAACATTGTAGCAAGAAATATCATAGTATTTAATAAAAACAAAAAACTATGATTATATTTCAATTCATGGAGTTTTAAGTTATAAAATAACCTCCTATCGCGAAGCATTTTATTTTACTGTCACAAGAATTAAGATACTAAATATAATTTTCTGAGACATTGGTACGTACATTGTACTGACAATCAAATCTATAGAAAAGAACTGACTTTTAATGAATGAGTACATTTTACTTTTGAATAACATTAAATATACACAATAATGCCAAATGAGTTGTGTACGCATATTTAAGTTTCTTGTTTTCTGTCGGCAATTGGATATCAAGTAAAGGTCATATGAAAGCTTCGTAGAATGTCAATCTTACAAACGGTGGAAGATGCAAAGCTTATGAAGAAGTTTCATTCCATTTTATGATAGACACTGTTAGAGTGGTCACAGAGGTGGGTATGAATTTGAAGACATTTGTACGCGAGGAGACGGAGCTTTGATTCATTGAGATAAGAGCGGAGATAATTTACAACACCGGTAACGTATCCGAGGAATAGTAATGGTATGGTCCTTATTTGCAGACATTTGCATAGTTGTAAAGAGAAACAGATTCAATATATTTCGTGCAGAGCTGACAACGTTAGTATCAATTAGTCACGGAAAGTAGAATCAGTCACAACCACCACCGTCACATCGAACTAGAATATGGAAAGAGGTGTGAAGGTTAATACGTTGAAGCCTTTAGACGTAATGCTTGAGCTCTTCACCAATGAACGGTTCGGATTGAAAGGGTCATGTTACCATGACGATCCAGTACGCGGAAGAGTGATACAAATCTAGTGTACAATATATCCAACGGACTATTCGTGTGATGGACAGCTACGGTTCTAGATCCTAAGATTGAAAACAGATCCCAAAAATGAAGCACCCATCGGGAGAACGCTGGGCTTGCCGTTACATCTGTTGCCAGTAAGTCCGGCAACCCCTGGGGAAGCAGTTCCTGCATCTGGAGATCCAGACACCGTTTCGCTGTAAGATTTGATGTCAATCGGGTACACGGGTTTGCCATCCGGGTACAAGAGGCCCCAGTTGCGCTCGGTCGTCGGTCCAGGCTTCTCATTCTCGTTGAATAAGGCAAAGATGAAGGTGGGAATGAAGATGCCTGGCCTCAATGGTGTTCCCTTGGTGGGATTGCTCAAAATGTGCTTCACCAAGCATTGGTTGTAAGTCTTCGCATTGTGGATGTTTGCTCCAGCCTCTGTAGAGTCTCCAATAGTGGGCCACCCTGTCTCACTGAGGGCAATTCTCACGTTGCCGTATCCCACACCAGCCATAGCCGCTGCCATTGCGTCCAATTGAGCATCTAGAAGGTTGGTGTACTCGTTTTTCCCATCCGTCGTCAATGTGCTGTTACGAGAAAACAGGGCGTAGTCTAAAGGGATGGACTGGGTGTTCGCAGCCCATGCGAAGTAGGGGTAAACATTGACGAAGAGGTACGAGTGTGTGGCATCCAAATGTTTGAGCAATGGGATCATAACGTCAGTTGCGACGTTCGACCGGAACACCCCCTGGGAGGGAGGGAAGGAGTTGGTAAGAATGCCAAACTCAGCTGCAGTGGAGACGTGAATGGACGACAAGTTCCGGTTCATCAGGCTCTTGTAGATGTTCTGAATGGCCGGCACGACTTTGAGCCAGGTTGCGGAGAGATCTGCGTTGGCGAAGAGCTCGTTACCCACCATGATGTAGACTATGTTGGTGGCCGGGTAATAGGGGACGACGTTGGCAGCCACCCACGCATCAGCGGCGCTGGGATCGTTTGCGAGGGGAGGGATCTCATCGTTCCCCATTCCGATTATGAAATCTAGCCCTGACCCCGCGAAGGCCTTGATGGTCGGCCCGTCGTGATCGAAGATTCGCACTCTCCCTATCCCCAGATTCCTAATCAGTTGCACTGTCTCTTTCGCGGTGGGCAGATTGTCGCCAAGTCTACCATAGTTGATGCCTATCGTGCGTTTCTCTGCCGAAAACACGAACAAAAGTTCAGCATTCACGGAGCGAGCGTGCAGTTCAAGACGCAAGGGAAGGTGTCAGAATTTAGAAGAAAATCAGAAATTTGAGAGGTATCAGAGTGTGAGATGGTACCATTAGGATAGGTAGCGGACACTGGCACGAGATACGTGCTAGACAGCAAAACCAAGCAGATACCGAACGTCATCCATCGAGGCAAGGAGCTGGCGCTACTGCCGCCTTGTGGTGGATTCATTTCTATCTCGCCGCTGCCAATAATGAGCTCAGCCTAATCCACTCTCTCAAGGACCTTACTTCCCGGAATCAGATAATCTGGATAATCCACAGACCACGCAAAGATCTAATATATATATATATATATATATATATATATGTGTGTGTGTGTGTGTGTGTGTGTATATATGTATGTATAGAAAGAGAAACCGTGACACTAACAAATAATCACAAATGTACCTCACAATAAACCTGCTTCGGCAAGAGGAAGACGACGAGATCTCGACCCACGCAGCTCGACAATCTCAACCAAACGCACAACATACCATCAAAATCGCAACCACCTCCTCCGCAACCCACACCGCAGCACGCGACGCCAGCACCTGGAGGAATCTACGCGCTGTCACACAAAAATCAAAATTCAAAAAAAAAAAAAGACAGCGCTTCAAAATACAGAACGGAGCATTAAAAAACACCGCAAGTCGGAGTGAGCAACAATCGGCAATCGACGCACATGAGGGAGACAATGCAGGTGGCGGAGAGAAGAAGGGAATTCAGGAACGAGCAGAAGACGCAGAGGATGGAGAGCACAAGGGCATGGGGGATAGATAGTGGCCCAGCTACGCACTTGAAGGGGCCGGGCTCTGAGCCTGCATTAGAAAGTGACCGTTTCGGGAAATGAGCCGGCATTTGAACCACAATTTGTACATGTACATGTATAAATACATACAGTTATGAGTATATTCCGTACACTATCCCCAACCGTTATACCGTGCCGGGTCAACAACTCCGGTGGGGATCGTGTCAACGGTCCTGGGCCGTTGAAGTGGACCTGCCCACGTCGTCCTTTCGGCCGCTGGCTAAATTCAGATATACAGCAATTTTTCAAATGGTTGCACCCCAATTGTTATATTTAGTGAGTGGTGGTGAGTTCCAAAGGTCTCAACAACCTAAACCCATTTGTGCTTGTATTGAAGTAGTGGAAACTTGTACTGTTAGGCATGGAAAAGCTGTAACATGATTTATGGTGTAGGTTATGCAAGGCTTTTTGCTAGTTAACAATTTCTTTGATTTTGACCAATGAGAAGGCTTCTTTGTCTCTTTGTCATATAATCAATCTTCCTTATTATATAGATGCCAAGTTTAGATTGGTTAAAAATTATTGGCAAAGTTGGTTAAGTTGTAGTCACTGCCTATGAGGCTTTGCAAAGAGTTGGTGGTTAAATTTACACCCATACTGTAATACAACTTTTGAAAATTTGCACCAAGGTCTTTTTGTGGAATTTTAGAAGTGAAACATTATTTTTGTTTTATTTTTTTTATTTTTTATTTTTTTCAAAGAAATAAATGAGGTTTGATGTAAAGAAAATGATTTTGCAAAAGTAGTAGTGAAGAATAAAACTATGATGATTATCAACATTTGTATTCATTCTTTTTGAAAATTTCATAATACTTTGGGCAATTTGGTATAATGAGTGTTTGTAAAATTAAAGGAATTTTTTATTAGATCCAAGAATATATTAAATATTTATCAATATATGTATATCCATGTATATCATTTTTTAAAAAAAATGAAGGTTTCTCAATTTAATCTTAATTTAATCTCAATCTAAATACATAATCTTTTGTAGAATTATTTTTATTATTTAATTTAATATATTTTTAAATCTTACAAAAAAATGTTACCACTTAAACATAAGAAACAAGAAATAAAAACATAAACATACATAAATTAAATTTTAAATATCTACTAGTAGTTATATATAAAAAATAATATAATATAATTTAATATAATAGAAACTACAGTGATTTTAATTAGAGTATATATAAAAATAATAATATTAAATATATATATATATATATATATATATATATATATATAGAATAATTTAGAAATATTTTAATAATAATTACACATAATTCAAAAAACACTTTCATACTCAATTCTTGAGCACATTTTGATATGATGAAATAAATACATTAATTAAACCAAAAATACCTAAAAAAATAAAATATATTTATACATAAATATATACCTATAGGATTTTATTGTATCACAATACTATCTTTATTTTCTGAAGTTATATGTATGATCACACATTTCTCTTTAATACAAACCTCCATCTAGTCTTTCTTCAATTCCGTGAATTCACTTAAATAATCCATCATAAATTCAAAAACCATATTAATATAAATAAAATAGGTTAAATTTCAGATTTTTATTTTATTTTATTTTAATTTTTTCTTGTCGAGTCATATTCTTTTTTATATTATAATAAAATATTGTACTAGAAGTCTTCTTTTACTTACATATATATATATATATATATATATATATATATATATGTGTGTATTTTTTTTTTCAATTTGTATTGTTCCTTTATAAAAATAATTTATATTGAATATAATGATTATTTATTACTAATTAAAAATCACTATTATCTTCTATCTAATTATCATCTATAATATCTTATATTATCTTTATATATATTATTATAAAATGAGAATTTTTTTTAGAATTGAATATATTATTATAGTTTTTAAATTTTTATATTTTATATCTTATTATATTTTATGATATTCTAATATAATATTTTTATAAAAAAAAATTATAAAAATAAAAAAAAATTATCTTTGCAAAAATTACTTTATATAATATATTTCCAACACCTTGTATAATCCATAATAAATTTAAAAATTTCTTATCAAAATAAGTCATCTATAAAAGTTTAATATGTCATCTTTTCACAATCATTTAAAAATATAGTTTCTAAAAAGATTTTTTAAAAAAATACACCAAATTTATAATAATTAATAATACCATTTATCAAGTATTATACTATTCTATAGTAATAACAATTATAAATTTTTATTCATTTTCTTATAAACTTTTTAAAAATTATTTGTTTCTACCATGGTAGAATTTAATATAAATTTTAATGCTTTTATTTATATAAATTAAATGCTAAAAATTATTTGATGAAAAAAATATATCACAATATTTTTTATATTTAAGTTATCAAAAAAAATAAAAAATTAAATTGATTAAAGAATTTTTTAAAATTATAAATAAAAATTATATTATAAATAAAATTTAAAATAAATACAATAAAATTTATGCATAATAAACCAATGTCAAGGACATGAATCAAAACAAGAAGAAGCTTAAATTTTTATAAATATTCTAAATATTCAAGAAAAATAAATATCCACTCCAAAAGTAATATATTATTAAGACTAATATGGCTATTGCCAAAAGATAAAAAGAGTATAGATCCTTGAAGCTAGACTAAGAACAAGAAAGAAGTTGATAAGAATGAAGAAGACTTCACTCTTGCCTCTATATATACTATTTAATTAAGAGCTACAAAATGATGTTCTATAGGACTTCCAACACATGTCCAAATTATAAGACACATGTTTTAACTTGTAAGGCAAGTTTTTTATATGTGTGCCACATAACTAGCTTACTCTATAAGATATAAATACAACTGATATGTGATTAACTTGTTGACCAAGTTTCTAATCTATAAACTTATGTAAAGTCAAAGCTACATCTATGAAGCTTCTAAGAAGTATTCCTAAAAGATATTATAAAATAAATCTATTTTTATTTACTTCTATCTAATCATATAGGTAATTATTAGAATAAATATGTATGTTTGTGACATTATAATTTCTTATAGAGATGAGTTCTATGAGGAGTAGTTATCATATTCAGAGGAAATCTAAGATGCGGTAAATTATGTTTGAAACATATTCTAATCTTTGTTTTCTTTAAAGATGGTTGATAAGTTTTCTCAGCCATTGATAGTATTCCATACTAGAGTAAAAATACCATCCTATTATTTAATCACTGTTGAGGCCTTCATAACTCCAAATAAAATATTTGAAATATCATGAAGATTCATTTTTTTTTCTAATAAAATCATCAAATATTAGAAGTCTCTTCCAAGTTCGTGATATCAAACATGTTATATCTCGCGATCATTTCAAGAAAGAATATGTCATTCTTAAAGATCTTCATTTCAATTATGTTATTCTTAAGGATCTTCATTTCAATTATGTCACCTTAAAGGTTGTAAAAATTATAATATTTCATCCAATAAGTTAGCAAACAATAGTTTTTGAAAGTTAAATTTGTTTGTTGTTGGTTCTCCATCTCTTTAGTGCCACAAATATATAGAAACTACAAACAAAGATGGAAGGTAGAAATGCTATCTTTTTTAGATCTTGTTTCTTTGATAAAAAAGATTTTCTATTTTTGATTTTATAGATGTTGTCAATAAAAAGCATCAATCTTCTTTGCTGTATTTGCAAGATTTTTTATTGGCTCTGATGTATGTTCACTAATATCATATCCATGCCAATGAACAAGATATTCCAACCTATTTTGGCACTGCCTTGAATCTAAGACTTCTTCTACTTCAAATTTTTGATTATTATCCACTTCTATACGAAGAAGTGACATTTGTCTTCTTCTTGAGATATTTATTATCTTATATGGTTTAAGAAGAGATACATTGAATATAAAATGAATATTTATAGAATTTAATAGATGTAATTCATAAACAACAAGATTGATTTATTCACAAATAAAAATGATCTAAGCCTATGATAATTTAACTTACGAGAGCAATCAATCTTAATATTATGAAAAAATAATCATATCTTGTTACCAATGTGAAATTGAGGTTGCTCCTTGCAATAAGCATCCATGATGGTTTTTTGTCATTTTTGGGGTTTTTTTTTTTTTTTTTTTATTTTTATTGTACCTTCATTATTATCAGATAAATGATTTATTAAATCTTTTGCTAAAGGATTATCAACTTTTGTAAAGTCAAAAGCATCAAATTATAGATGATAATTATAATTAATAAAAAAAATATTTATTATATAGAAAAATATTTTATATTATTATAAGTAAACTTTGTCAATGGCAAAAGAATTGTCTAATCATCTTGTTGATAGTTGATGGTATATCTTAAATATTACTCAAAATCTTGATTTATGTTCTTCGTCTATCCATTAATTTAATGATGAAAGACCAAAGATAACTTGATATCTATTTTTAGAATCTTTAAAAGAATATCTCAAAATCTTAATACAAATTGAGTTTTTTATTTAATTTAATATTCTTAAGTAATATATTATAGTAATAGATACTATCAAAAAAAATTAGTTATTTTTTTCACTTTAGATAGATTTTGTATATAATACAAAATATGCCATCTTAATAAAATGATATCTATAAAATATTATGACTTTAGAATCATATAAATTTGATATTAAAAGATTTGTGATAAAATCCATAGAAACAAAAGACCAAGATTATTTGTTATAACTTTATAAAGTTATTTGGTAATAATTGACAAATGTTTTGAATTATTGCTAAGCTACTTTGATCATGTATTTATCAAGATTTGATTTCAATTTCACTTATTAATCCAAAAAATAAAAAAATACTTAAGATTCTTATAATAGAAAATAACTTTATAAAGTTATTTGGTAATAATTGATAAATTCCAAAAAACAATTGCATATTTTCAATTATTTTTGGAATCCTTGAATCTATGATAGTTTGAACCTTCTTGAAATCCATCACAAGACTATTTTTTGAAATGACATATCTTAAGAAGTCAACTTAAA